CTTTCAAAATGTACTGTCCGCCTTCGGGTGGATAGACGAGATTTTATTTTTCTATTGTGTTTTTGTCTTCGGACAGAACACACGAAAAAGTCATTGTCACATGTTGACCGAGCAGCCAGTGCTACTTACGCCCAGCCATTTTAGATTTACTCTGCACAGATTCAATATATCTTCCCGACTTCTTTTCGGACTTCTATCATAGGAGCTTTCTGTGGAATTGGCACATTGAATATGTCGAAAAGAACGTCGATAAGCTCAACCCCCACTGGCATATCATTCTCTTCATTTATATGCCTACTTTTGATTTGATTACAGTACCTTTTGTGCATCATTTCCGGTCCTTTGACTAAGTTTGCCATCCTACCGATTCTTCGGACGACAGTTTCAACTTCTCAATATCTTTTACCCGTCCGATACATCCAGTAAAAACCTTTTGACCAACTTCGTAAAATTTATTACCAGGTTTTTGTACTGTAACTACAAGATTTTTTTTCTTATTGGATAGCAGCTTCTCAAAAACCGATTTTATTTTCCGCGCAAACATAATTTCTGTCGGAGTTATGGCCGAAGGCGCATTTTTATTTGGTGTAAGCCGATACACCTGCAGAAATTGTTGCAATGCTGCATCTGTGGATAGACCGTTGGATTTTTTTAGAACTCTCTTAAGTATCCATCAAACCACTCTGCCTGGTCGTTACTCCTAAAGTGGTAAGGGGAATTGTTATATGCTCTACCACAAATATTTTGCAGAATTCTTGGAGTTCTTTCGATGTAAATTGGGTATCGTTATCTGAAACAATAGAATCTGGTACCTCGAACCTCGTGAACAGTTCGTGTAGAAACCCAATTACTACTTCCCTGGTTGGTTTCTTGCATCTCAATATCTCTGGTCATTTGGAAACACTGTCTACGATGATCAAGTATGACCCATTAAGTTGACCAGCAAAGTCAATATTCAGACGTGACCATGGACGGTCAGATTCTGGCCATGGGTTGAATTTTGCATGACTTTATCAAACATTCGATGTCTCTATCCATGCTACTCCAGTACACATAACTTCTTATTAAGCTTTTCATTCTGGATATACCAGCCTGTCCTGTATGGAATTCTTCCAGGATTTGTTTCTGTAGTGATGAAGGTACCACCACTCTTTCGCTGAACGTCATTGCAAATTAAATATAACTCTGATTTTGTTTTAATTCTTTCAGTTTTCTCTTCATTTCCACAAATTTATCATCCAACGCTTTACATTTTATTTCTTCCAAAGTCACAGGTAATTCGCGCACAGTATTACATCGTACATTTTTTTTTATCTCTTCTTCCGCTTGGAGAGAAGCAATGACAGTGTCTTCAAAAGGTTCAATATTTCTTGGAATAAGTCTGGACAATCCATCGGCGTCAATCAATTTACTCAATGGCAAGAATTCCATTCTAAAGCCATAATTTAGTAGAATGGTTCCCCGTCGTTGTAACCTATTAGCTGTATGGGTCGGTAGTCTTTTTTGGGACAGGTAAATAGCTGACAATGGTCTGTGAACCATTTGCAAGTTAAACCTTCTCCCATGAATGAATCTATGAAATTTCTTAAGGGCAAACACAATCCCTAAACTCTCCTTCCCTATCACGGAATAATTCTTTTCAGCTGGAAGAGACGTCCTGGATCAGTCTGTAATATGTTTAATCAAGCCGTCTTTGAGTTTATGCATAATTCAGGCTCCTATTCCATATGCACTAGCGTCACTTGCTATGATTATTTCTTTTTTTGGATCGTAATGTGTCAAAAACACGCCCGACGTTAGCATCTTGTAGACATAGTGCGTGCGTCACATTGCAGGATAATCGGACCGTGACAACAAACGCGGGCATATGTGAGGCTTTTAGTGATTACTTTTAGGATTTATTCACCATGGAGCCCGGTCTGAGCAATGCTCAGTTCGATGCCAATTTAGCCGACTTTCCCTGCCTCGTGGAATCTGAAGCGGCTGGGTGCGAGGGTCCAATCACAGAGTCGGAAATCTGGGAAGCGCTGAAGCAGGTTGGCCGGGATAAATCTCCGGGTTTAGATGGTCTTCCCTACGAACTTTACTTGAGGCAATAATATAATAAATAGGGTTTATTATTTTTGCGATGATTAAAATTATCATAAATCCTAAACAAATGATGTTAGTCAATTTATACATTTTCTTTGTTCTTAAGAATTGACAACAAAAATAATAAACACTATTTCTTTATTAGATTGTTTATTGGAATGGTTGGCAAAACACAGGCTAATTGCAAATCGATTCGAACTTTATAAAATGGTAAATAATAAGGATTTCCTTAGAGTTGTTTCACATATTTTAATAATTGAGTAAATCTTTACAAATTTATGAATTAAAAATTGTTTTCGTATTTATTTCTTTATAAATTGGTGAATGATAAATATTGCACCACATTTTTAGTTTTAATTGCATTAGTTTTTACAATGTTGTAAATATAAAATTATTCTTGACAATAAAAAATCTCAAATGGAAAAATTCAATTTTCACGGGTACTAATAGTTGTTTTTGTTTAAAATTTATATATAGTTAAAATGTGTCATCAGATTAAATGGAAAGGTTGAAAAATATTATTACAATTAATATTATCTTACAATAATTGTGCCTGTCTCTCCATTTGTTCGTTAGCACGACCGTTACACCCTGTCAATACCCCATAAATAATGGACTATTCCGTTTTGATTGTGTGAAAAGACAAAAGACATATCAAAGACGCGACTTGATTTCAGTGAGAAAATGAAAGAAAGAAGGAAAGAAAGAATGGAAGAGAGAAAGAAAGAAAAAATGGAAGAGAGAAGGAAAGGATGAATGAAAGAAAGAAGGAAAGGATGAATGAAAGAAAGAAAGGAAAGGATGAATGAAAGAAAGAAAGGAAAGGAAGAATGGAAGAGAGAAGGAAAGGAAGAATGAAAGAGAGAAGGAAAGGATGAATGAAAGAAAGAATGAAAGAAAGAAAGAATGAAAGAGAGAAAGAAAGGAAGGATGAAAGAAAGAAGGAAAGAAAGAATGGAAGAGAGAAAGAAAGAAAAAATGGAAGAGAGAAGGAAAGGATGAATGAAAGAGAGAAGTATTTAACGTCAGTTTCAGCGAAATGAAAAAAGTTGTCAATTTCAATGTTTTTTTGTTTTTTTTTTCAATTGTACCCGCTTACTTCTTAAAATAATGACCAGCATTCAACTTTATGATTGCTATTGCAATATTTTGTTAAGGTTGTTAAACTCAAATATTTAACGATGCGATAGGGGAATTTCTACGGATATTTTATTGTCGTAGAACTCACCATGAGCTTATTCAATCATTAACTGAAGAATTAAGATTGGTGAGAAAATTCAAATAGGAAAACCGTGAAATTTCTTGTCTTAGAGTCAGAACGCAAAGGTCCCTTATCCGAACACGCTCTTGTATTTCAATCTTAATTCTTTGTTTGTGAACTTTTTGCCTTATTCCTGTTGTTTTGCATTGCATATATTGTTTGCTTGCTTTATATTATTTTTGCCCTGTTCTTTTCTTTTTCTTGCAATTTTAACGAGTTAAAATTAGATGTTATTATTATTATTATTATTATTATTGGCAGAATACAGCGACCGATTTTATTTTTATAGGGTGGGAAGGTCCTACTAACATTTTATTTTTCGTTTCAATGTTTTGTTATATTTTAGTTTCACTTTTTGGGGTTCATACCCTCTCCCCTGATTTCATGTAAGTAAATTTTTTTTATATTTTCATAAAAAATGATAAAAATATGATATGTGGTATTGTGGTATATATTGGATTGAATGGTGATGGATAAGTTCTTGTGGTGAATAAGTAAACTGTAATGAATGAATGCGTCGTGATTCTAGGTTTTGAATAGTAAGTGTTGACAAGACACAACCCTCTCCCCCTTTTGGCCTTGTGTCACTATTGTTGAATTTTTAAGGATAAATAATTATTCGCATTCTGGATTGAAACCAACTGCTATTAAATACCCGGAAACATTAAATTGATGAATTCCTTATGACAAATACTTCAATAATCTATTTATTGAATGCCTTTTATACTTTTTTCTTTCAAGGTGAAAACCATGCTGTGTACTGCCTACCCAATCAAAGCCAACCGCTACATCAGTAAGTATTTTCAAATAAATCTTCTTTTTGTATGTGCCATGTCCTTTCAGGACGTAGGCGATCATGGCCCCCCCATATCTTCCTCTCCATTGTAGCTCTTAATACGTTTTGTCTTTTTGTTACTCACCCAGACTCTGTCCGCCATTAACTTGCTCAAACCCATTAAGTATGTCACGCGTTGCTTTCCATTGACCATCTTCCCTATATCCGTCCTGTGAGTATCAGATATTCCAAGCCTTCTTTCCTCGTGACGTGTCCTAGAAATTTTAACATTCCTATTCCTGATTTTTAACAGCCTATTCCTGAAGTATGTTTCCTCTTTGTTTCCATTCTCAAGAAAACTTTGTTGTTGCTCAAATGTTCGGTCCATGGTATTCTCAGCATCCTTCGGTATAACCACGTTTCTGTTGCTTCAAGTTTCTCCTTCATCTTCCAGGAGATTGACCAGCATTCACCGCCATAGAGGAGGAATTATATTACGTAACAGTTCAGTACTCTTTACTTTGTTTCTCTTGCTTCAAATCTCCCCTTCATCTGTGTGGAGATTGTCCAGCATTCACTGCCATAGAGGAGGACTGATATTACATAACAGTTCAGTACTCTTTTCATTGTTTCTGTTGCTTCAAGTCTTTTCTTCATCTGTGAGGAGATTGTCCAGCATTGACTGCCATATAGGAGGACTAATATTACATAACAGTTCAGTACTCTTTTCTTTGTTTCTCTTGCTTCAAGTCTCTTCTTCATCTGTGAGGAGATTGTCCAGCATTGATTGACATATAGGAGGACTGATATTATATAACCGTTCAGTACTCTTTTCTTTGTTTCTCTTGCTTCAAGTCTCTTTTTAATCTATCTATGTATCTGTCAGTATCTCTCTCTCTGCTTATATCTGTCTGTCAGTCTCTCTCTCTCTCTCTGTCTGTTTGTATCTGTCTGTCAGTCTCTCTCTCTCTCTCTCTCTCTCTCTGTAGCTGTCTGTCTGTCTGTCAGTCTCTCTCTCTCTCTCTCTCTGTTTGTATCTGTCAGTTTCTCTCTCTCACTCTCTCTCTGTCTATTTGTATCTATCTGACAGTCTCTCTCTCTCTGTTTGTATCTGTCTGTCAGTTTCTCTCTCTCTCTCTGTATCTGTCAGTCTCTCTCTCTCTCTCTCTCTCTGTTTGTATCTGTCAGTCTCTCTCTCTGTCCGTTTGTATTTGTCTGTCAGTCTCTCTCTCTGTTTCTATATGTCTGTCAGTGTCTCTGTATGTCTGTATCTGTCTGTCTTTCTGTCTCTTTGTATCTGTCAGACTCTCCTCTCTCTCTCTCTCTCTCTCTCTCTGTATCTGTCTGTCAGTCTATCTCTCTCTCTCTGTTTGTATCTATCTATCTATCTCCCTCTCTCTCTCTCTCACTCTCTGTCTGTATCTATCAGTCTCTCTCTCTCTCTCTCTGTTTGTCAGTTTCTCCCCTCTCTCTCTCTCTCTCTCTCTCTCTGTTTCTGTCTATCAGTCACTCTCTGTGTCTGTATCTGTCTGTCAGTCTCTCTCTCTCTCTTTCTCTCTCTCTCTCTCTCTGTATCTGTCTTTCTGTCTCTCTCTCTCTCTGTTTGTATCTGTCTGTCTGTCTCTCTCTCTGTCTGTATCTCTGTCTCTCTATCTGTCTGTATCTATCTGAGTATCTACTTATTTAACTGTATTAATCATATATATATATATATATATATATGTGTGTGTGTGTGTGTGTATATATGTACACAGTGGTCGGTAGCCATATTTCCTCTATACGTCTGCACCTTCGAGAAAATTTATATTCTTTAATATCTAAGAAAGTAGACATTGATTTCCCAGTGTAATTGTTAGCAAAGGAATGGTAAGAATAATTTAAATAATAATCTGAAAACACTGATGAACACTTAGAGTCAGATGAAAATTTCATGCTTGCTGATTGTGGCCCGCCAACCAAGCCCTATTTACCAGATATAAAAATCTTATCGAAGATAATAATAAAAATAATAAATAAAAAATAAAAAAAAACAATTTCAGAAATTCTTGAAATGCTTCAAAGTGTCTCTGATATTTTTTTTCTTTTAGAATTGTTCTATCCGTTGCATCGCATGAAAACAGTTCGTCACATCAGCGCAGCATTTTGTGAGATTCCATATTTCAATGAAAAATATTGGTAAGTATGAAGTCTGACTGTAATATGAATTTGGCAGATTTACTTCTTCGTGTATGCCAAAAGATTTGGTGCCAAAGGATTTTTTTTTTTTTTTTGCAGACGCTGATATTATTTGATATTATTTTAATCACCTTCATTGCTCGGTAATGTTTATTCTTGTAAGAAAAGAAAACGAAAATTAGAATAAAGCGTAAACATAATGAAAGTGAATTTATACATTTTTTGTTCTTGAAAACTTACAACAAAAATATTAAACACTATTTATTAGTGTGTTTATTTAGAAGAATAATTGTATATTTACAACATTCTAAAAAGTAATACAATTAAAACTAATGCAATGCAATATTTATCATTTACCAATTTATAAAGAAATAAATATGAAAACAATTTTTAATTCATAAATTTATAAACATTTATTAAATTATTAAAATATGTGAACGAACTCTAAGGAAATCCTTATTGTTTACCATTTTATAAAATTTGAATAAATTATGAATAGAATGAAATAGATATGAAAACATTGAGACTGATACAAAGAGAACGAAATAGATGAATAGATAGATAGACAGACAGATATGAAGGGGAGATAAAGAGATAGAGAGAGATGTAGAGAATGATATATATATATATGTGTGTGTGTGCGCGCGTGTGTGTGTGAGAAGAGAATGACATAGATATGAATAGAATGAAATACATATGAAAAGATTGGAACAGATACATACATAGACACGAAGAGAACAAAATAGATGGATGGATAGATAGACTTATATGAAGAGAAATATACGGAAAAAACAAACAAAAATCCTTATATACAATTATGCTGTTTTAAATTATATTTCAACGTCGGACGTTTCAAATAAACCATGACAAAGATAATGTTAATTATATTTTATGAATATGTCCTGAAGATGGTTTAATAGACCGAAACGTCCGACGTTGACATATTAACATTAAAACAGCAAAAATGTATTATAAGGATTTTGTTTGTTTTTTCCGTATATTTTTCTTCATATTGTCGGATCTATGTCCATATATTTACTTGCATAGACTTATATGAAGAGAAAGAGATAGACAGAGAGAGAGAGAGAGAGAGAGAGAGAGATGAATGTGTGTGTTGTTAAGAGAAAGAGAAAGAGATTAAGAGAATGATATGTGTGCATATGTATAAGAGAAGGAGATAGATATGAATAAAATGAAATACATATGAAAAGTTTGGGACAGATACATACATAGATACAAAGAGAACAAAATAGATAGATAGACAGATAGACTAATACAATTCAAACTAATGCAATGCAACATTTATCATTTACCAATTTATAAAGAAATAAATACAAAAACAATTTTTAATTCAAAAATTTGTAAAAATATGTGAACCATCTTTTAGGAAATCCTTATTATTTACAATTTTATAAAGTTCAAATCGATTGGCATTTAGATGATATTTTTCCAACCATTGCAATAAATAATCTAATGAATAAATAGTGTTTATTATTTTTATTATCAATGTTATTGAAGAACAAAGAAATTGTATAAATTCACTTTCATCATATGTTTAGGTATCGTTCCAATTCTAATCCTCGCTTTTTAAAAGAATAAACATTGCTGAGGGGTGAAGGTAGTTAAAACAATAGCGGTGTCATGGAAAAAACCCGCCCTTTTGATACTTTTCTTTTTGTAGGCACGAAATAATGGATATTAATTAATCTAAAGAATTCATAATATTACATCATTTTTTTTTTAATTCCGACGGCTATTGCTAAAAAATGAACGTAGAATGACGATCTATAAGTTGCAATAAAAAGCAACTGAAGTTAAGATAAGAGAAAAACTAATGAAATATTAATAATAACCTCATGATTAGTTTCCAACTCTTGATTGGTTCATGACATTTAAAAAAATTCTCCGGTTCAAACAATCTCCCTGGTCTTTGGAACAGGATTAGTTTCCTGTTTAGAATTCGGCTTCCGGTTCCTTAAGTAGTTTTATTCTCTGTTACTTATCTTGTGTCTTAGTGGCGCTATTGCCTTGCTTGGTTTTGAATTAATTTCAAATAAAATTCACAAATCAAATCGCCTACTAATTCGTTTTATTAATTTGCTTTTTAGGGAATGTTCCACTCCAAACCTTACTTGCTCAACTTCAAGTATAGGCCTCTGGGTTATGGCTAAGGATGGTCCATCTTGGTATCTGCCTGAAGGTTCGAGTCTTCTATTTTAAAACTATTTCAACAAAATATATACGAATGTATTTTTATGTCTTAGCCTATTGCATTTTATTTGCAGGATTTGGTTAATGTGTGGCCTTTCAGACCAGAAAATAGTTATAAACAGTGGTCCTTTAAGAAAACTATAAGCATTCTTCCTTTAAAAAAATATTTATCAGCATTCTTTCTTTTAAAAAACTATTTATCAACATTCTTCCTTTTAAATTTAACAAAAGATGTTATTTTACCACAAACAGAAAAAAAATCTTTTTGAAAAAAACAAATTCAAATTTTACGAAATACAAAATAAAACGTAAAAAACGTCATTTAATAAAAAAAAAGATTTCAGAAAATCAATCCATTTTACTATCAAGTCTCCTGAAGAGTGAATACGATTACGTTAAACTCACAATGGAGGAAATCTTAATTGATCAAGCTTAATTTAATTATATATATATATATATATATATATATATATATATATATATATATATATATATACAAAAGCAAGGATGAATTGATTGGTTTATCAAGGTCTTTAAATTTGAGAACGTTCATGAATATTTATCAGGTGGTTGAAAGGTCAGTCAAAACATCTGGAGGACACAAAGTGGTTCATCTTTTTTTCATATATATATATATATATATATATATATATATATATATATATATATATATATATATATAAAGCAATTTCCACACCTAGAGAAGGCACCTAATATACAAGATTAAAAAATAAATCTAGCCGCATCCCTCTAGTAACCACTTTCAATCCCACTCTGCCTCCACTATCCCAAATAATCAAACGTCGCTGGGAAATACTACATCTCAAACCAGACCTAAAAAAAACTGCTTAAGAACCCGGCCTTCTTGCATATCGTAGACCTAAGAACCTAAAAAAAAAATCATAGGTAGTAACCACATTTCAGGGGACAAGGTAATCCGTAAGGAACTGAGAACAAAAACAACAGGATTTTCCCAACCATGTAACAACAAAAGAAGTTTATGTTGCAAACATATTAAAAACACGAATTCATTCACTAGCTCAATCACTAAATCTACTTTCAAAATCTACCACGATTCTAACTGTAGAAGTCAAAACATAATTTACCTCCTAGAATGCACACTATGCCAGAAACAATATGTAGGAAAATCTGAATGGCCCTTTAACTACAGAACTAATAATTATCGTAAGCGAATTAAATCGACTCCCTATGAACAGTTATTACCTGCAGAACAACATTTCCGCCTAGAAAAACACGATTTCAAAACCCATGCCAGATTCACTATAATTGAGAGAATAGAAAAGTTCAGAGCAGATAACATTAGAAAGATTTTAGAGTCCCATGAAAATAAGTGGATACAACGTCTAAAAACAAAATACCCAGCCGGGCTAAATCATAAATTTAACAATATATAATAGTAACAATCAACAAATCAAAACCTACCCACATTTCTCACCCACACAAGACAGACATGCTTACGGAGGAATGAAGGCCTCACACTTATACACTCACCCACACGATTATACACACGTACACACACCATACTCACTCACGCCCTAATGAGCCAAATGATAACACACACCTACAGCAATACACACGCTTACACATATCATACTCACTCACTCCCTAAGAACCAAATAACACACACACAAACACTAAACAGAGACACATCCCCTCACCAGATCCAATAAAACTGTCAAACTGACCAGAGAATTCAGGATAAAATGTATCTATCCAGTTCTTATCTCAAATAACAACTTAAAAGAGACTGTTTGACCAACACAAGGAATGTTAAAAGATTCATGTGAAAAAGATAAAAAAATAAAAAAACAAATGAAAACTACAGACAAAAGTTCATTTTCTCCAACAAAAGACATTCACCTGTAGTTCACTGCCAACAGCAAGCAGAAATATTTCTCCTCCCGATGATGGCCATTTCGGGCGAAACTAGTCGAGGAATCTAAATGGAATAATAATAATAAAAAACGAAAGAATATTAATCTACAAACCCAGTGTGTCTAATGATTTTAATTTTTATTTTCTTATTGTTCTATATATATATATATATATATATATATATATATATATATATATATATATATATATATAAAAGTAACAGCAAAATTGTCCAATTGTTAGATTAAGCTTTGAACCGTTGTATCTTAGAAATGATTAAAGATGTCTTACTGAATTCTCTGGGGTTTTTGTACCAGTATTGGACTCTGCTTTGATCAATAAGAATGTATAATTACTCTCCAAGCTTAAGAAAAGAATCATCAGGTGTG